GCATTCAGTCAGGCCGGCCACATGACAACAGAGAAGTCTTCAGACAGCGCTGGATCTTCAGCTTGGAAACGGAGATCAGCACCGCCCCCTAGAGTCGGATTCGACCGGCTTTCGAGCAAGGGAAATCTTTAGGGATGGAGAAGGGGTCACTGGGGGGTCTGTGGGGGAAGGTACTTGTGAGTTTCCTGCACTGTGCAGGGGGTTGGACTAGATGACCCTGGAGGTACCTTCCAACTCTGTAGAACTAAAATTTTCGTGCATGCACAGAACAGCGATTTCCACTTCAACCCGACTGCTGTAACACTTCCCTTTAAACTTTAAAGGAACACTTCCCTTTAAACATTTACCCCGAAAATGGCCTCTGTGAGATCCCGAACTCATCTAAACGCTAAAACTAGGCACTGTTTAAACATTGTTTTTAAAACCGCAGTGGCAGAGCTCCGCCTATGCGCACACCACCAACGCTTAAAAAAAAAAAGGCAGGCAAAAAGCGGAAGCCTTTGGTAGCTTTCAAGCGGGGAGGGGGTTTAAACCGGAAGTGGCTCGACACCGCAGGAGCAATCAGACGTCAGAAAAGTGCAGCTGGAAATGGAGAATCAGGAAAACACCACTTGGGGACGTGGTAACAAAATACTCCGGTTTAAAGAGGATTTGAGCCGGAAAGCGACGGCTGGGGACAGGAGGCAGATGTTGACCATGTGATCACGCAGATAAAATCCGTTTCTGAGGCGGGCCGAAAGCGGACTAAACGGCCCGTCTGAACGCACCCTATGATTTTATGATTAACTAGGAGACCCCTCCAAATTCTAGTGTTATGGGAGAGGAAGGGGGAAAAATCCTCTTCCACCTGCCTTCTTTTTCCTCCTCCCTCAGGACGTCTGGGCCTAGAAATGATTTCCTCGTATCTCCACGGTCCATTGTTCAGGTCGACTTTAAGGTGGGGCAAGCGTCGGGTGCCTCTGTGGAGACGGCCGCAGGCAGAAACACAAATGCAGCCCGCCCACCCACCCAAGTCCAGGACACATTTAACAACTCCTTGTTGTGTGTACAGAAGCAGGGACATCCGACAAACCACAGGGGCTTGGCGGGAGAGTTGATGTGCGGAGGTTAGGAGACACTGAAGAAAGCACCCTCCAAAATGTTATTATTATTTTTTTTTTCAATTCTCCACAGTAATCGCGACGACTAAATGAGCCTGCTTCGTTTGCAAAGTGCTTCAGAAACTTTATTGCATTTCTGCCCTCATGGCAGCGCCGCCGTAGCCAGTTTCACATCTCACGGACGGGAGGAGGCCGCGGCGGGCCCGGCGACCATGGCCGCGATCCACGAGGGGAAGGCGCGGGGCCTAGTCGACCTTCCTTCACTTCAATCTGCCTCCCGCCTCGTGTTTCACAACAATCTCGGGGCTCCCGGGTTTTAAGCG